ATCTATTTAAATATATGGATTTATATATAAATGTACATTTAAATACATGCATATATACATATATTCAAACATTTAAATACACATACACATATATACCATATAATATATATATATATATATTATATATATATATATATATATATATATATATATATATATATATATATAATATGCCATGTTAGCATATGAATACTTGTAATGACTTTTTATACCTACAGACTATCCCATTTCAATGCAGGTATGTGATACATGTGTATACCTAATAGAAAAAGCATAGAACTGCTGGGGCGTATTGCAGGTGTTCTAACATTTCACATACTCGACATTTACTCACTATATTGACATGATTGACCTACCAAGCCACAGCTTATACCAAAGGCAACCGATAGTGCCAACTTCTTTGGCGTGATGCCATCTTGTATAACATTTTTAACATCGTCTACCATTTTTGCACAGCAATTTTTTGGCGGCTGTGAATCTCGGAAGGCGTTGTCCTCACCCCCTTGGAACTCGACTTCTTCCGGAAAGTCATCATCTTCTACGAGATGCTTATCTGACATATTAGCAGATATATGGACTGTGCGTTATACTATTGTAATGAGTTTTTACTATATTGATACGTGTACTTGCTTTATCAGGAGTGAAATACTACCTGGGTACTGCGTGTGTTTCAATGGAATTGTATAGTAGATAGCATGTTTGTATGTCTTTTATGTGGAAGTAATTTGGTAAGCATGGAATTGTAGTAAATAATAATATGTAGCGACCTTGGAGGATTAAATAGATTTTATTTTTATAATATAGCAGCCCTCATGTTTATACTAACGTATACACACGACACCTACTAAAGAGAGAGAGAGATTTGAAGTACTGCAGTTGCTACACCCCCATCATTACTACAGTAACTTTACGTATCATCGTATGACTATGTACTCCGTGGCATTTCTGATTTCTCGATACCCCGTTCCCCCAGAGGGGGCAGGGGCCCAGAGAGGAAAGATGAGAAACCGTCTAAATATTGGCTTTAAGCACTCAACAGTGCGCATTCATTAGCTAACAGCGTACTCCCACGGGATCAAAAGGTGCTTGGCTATTGGATGATTTGTTATACATATTTTAAAAACATTTCCCCCCGTTTTTGTTTTTACGCGAGAGTCTGATCACTCGGACGGTCTGGCCCTGTAGGCTGTCGGCCCAGTGTCGGGCCTGTCTGTGACAGTGAGTCATTCTGAGCCTGTGGCATACAGTGTGGGACTGTGGGCCTTTCGATTATATAAATATATATTTTTTATTTTGAAAATAAATAAATCATTTTTTTCTTTAAACTTTCACTGCCTTCTCTCTTGGGCTTTCAGCCTTTCTGAGAGTTGTCTTCAACTATTTTTATTTAAATAAATAAAAAGGCATAGCCTTCTATATTAGTCAAAAAGGGCTCAGGCCCCAGCCTCGGCCCCCAGGGCCAGTGGCCCCCCAGTGACAAACTCACTCCCTGGGCTCGTCGCTCGGGCCCTCAGTGGTACACCCCACCAAAAATTGGTTTGTTTTTAGGAGGCTATGCCAAAAACGGACGCACAAAACGTGTCAAATTGTAAAGATGTCAAGTTGCCAAGGCCCAAGAGGCAGGGTGTCAATTGTCATTTGTCAACAACGTCAACAACTCTAAAAAAAAGGGATAGTATGGTCGTTTGGATAGCCCGTTCCTGTACATCAGTACAGTACAGTGTCAGTGAGCACATATTCCTGCCACATATAGTAGTTTACGACGTGGAACTGAAGCCTACTGTAAGGTGCAAACACTAAACTGTACCTCTGAATGGAAGAAAAGAAAGAAGCTAAATGTATCAAAAGATATTACAACTACAAATAGGTCTCAACTCTCAAGTGTGACAATGAGAGCTGCAAGTTGCATTATAAAAAGGTAGAGCAACTTCATACAAGCTGCTAGTGAGCGAAAAATATTGATCAGTCGTCTCGGGGGAAACTACCATGAAGGCGTCAAGCAAGCAGCATCGGTTCAAACCATTCCGCGATACCAAACCTCACTCACCTGAAGTACTTGAGGCCGTGGGTTTCTATATAGCCCGTAAAAATGCCGAACTAGCACACGAATCGACTGATACGAGTATATTAGATTCGGCACACAATCAAGAGGAATACATAGATATAGGAAATATTGGCGACACCACTGAACGTGAGCCAAATTGTGGGCCGGGTTGCTCCTCTGAAATATTGCACGACCATGATCTACTTAATGCGCACGAGTGTTTATCCACCTGCGCCGAGAAGTTTAACGGTCTCAAGAGGTCGCTGATAGTTTCCATTTGTTCTTTATTGCAAGATGGAGATGTGCACTTGTTGCCACAGGCTGCGGTGTTAGGTGGCTTGGGCTCCTCTGTGTTACTGGTACATGTACCCAGGCATGTTGATGCGTACGAAATGGACGTGCATATGCCGCAGAATACAGAGGAACTAGGTAGTCACACAACGACACATACTGGTCAGACAACTGATGCTGCTAACAAGGATACACTAACGCATGCAAAAAGTAACGCTATTACCAATAACAAGCAATTTAGCAATGCCTTAGGAGTGCAGTCGAAGTGTGAAGAGGTGGAGGTGAAGGTAAGTAGCCGTTTCGTTGCTAACGTACAACGCACCCTAGGAGTGACACCTTTGGTAAATGTTGCGGCACAAGCTATGCGCAATAAAAATGACCCGATCAAAGCGGCTGCTTGTATTGTAGGGGCATACAACAGTGTGATCCCTTTAGGTAATGCTGAGTTGCGAATGTTATTTCCACTCATGTGCGCACGGTTGTGCTTGGAGGCAGTGGCCGAGGACTCCGCCGAAGGACTACATACGGGCGACTCTGTAGTACCAGATATTTGTGAGGTGTCAGGTGCAGCTAAAGATGGAACTCGGCAATTTACGGATACAGCTCAGAGCAGCATCCCGGCATTGGATGATAGCACGTGGGATACACTGCGCATACTGAGTCACATACCGCCCGCAATGGCCTACTATAGGCTGCGTCACGCGTGTGGGTTCACCCCCGTGTTACAAAGTGACTTAGTAGCAGACTGGCTACGAACCCATTCCGAAGAACTGGCACCTGTATTGCATCCAATGAATACACACAGAGAAGCTCTGTGGACGGATACACACGTGTTTGATTTGAGTGTAGGGAGTCCGTTAGTGGCAGGCCATGCTAATGCTTGTGCTCTGGCAACGGCGATGCGCGAAGAGATGCTGGGGACACAAGCGCAACAGAAGGTCGACAATAATACTCAGAGGTGTCGATCAAAAAGCAAAGGACCAAGTAACTGCGGAACAAGAGGTGACAGCCCAGGCCACAGCGCTGATCATTGTGAACAAAAGGCTGAGTATAGTGGGATTAGTGAGTGTGAGGGCGAGGGTGGGTGGATGGGTGTTGGTGTGGGGCGGTATAATGAAGCTCGCCTTCTTAGTACGTCGAATATAAACACAAGTGTGTACGAGGAGATGCCAGAGCAACGTACCATTGCGCTTGGGATAGACTTGTTTCCCCTGTGTTCTTTGGGTGTGGAAACGAGCACATTGGGAAGCAAGTATTCGTCAGTACTTGAGGATACACAGACATGTACAGGCATAGGGACGGTAGTGTATGTATACGCACCGTTGGAAGGTACAGTAGACAGTGTGAGCAGGTCTGGTGAACGCGGGTATACGGTTGTGCTCAAGCATACCGTTGGTAAAGAATTGACATTCTACACACTTTACGGGAAACTGTCATTCGAAAGTGAGAGCTGCAATGCGGTGGTGGTTGGCGCCACCATTGCTAAGGGAGAGAGACTGGCGTGTATTAGTACCGCACCGTATATGACGGGCGCGACAGATACAGCTACAACATCGCACACCAACAACGAGGAACACTGCCTGCCGCCAAGCTTGCACTTCCAACTTATAACGGACATCACGTGCGTGCATGAGTGTGCGGAACCTTGCTCTTCCGCGGATGGGGAGTACTCAGGCTCCGTTGATCAGAATTCTCAAGTAATCACTGTATGCTCCCCCAGCGAGCGCGCTGTAATGTTGAGCATCTGCCCGGATCCGAACCTTATCTTGGGCATACCCGCGCATTTCTTCCCTCCGCCAATGGAAAGCAAGGATTCGCTGCTGGCGTCACGAAGAGCCCACGTGGGCAGGAATCTGAGTGTGTCATATGGCGATGAGAACGCCTTGCACATAGCACGTGCGTCGCAACAGTTTCTATACGACGTAGACGGCCGTGCCTATCTGGACTTGGTCAACAATGTGTGCCATGTAGGTAGGTAATATGTTGTTCACAATATCCGATTTATGATTTTAGTCGTGAGTGGCTATAAATTGTGTGATTCTTCGCGACTGCGTGACAGTGCGGGCTGCTTGGATTGTACGCGTTTAAAGATGGCGCTTAACACATACTTAAATTTATCCCAAGCAAACTCAACCCACAATCCAAGCCAACCAACTCCTCCCTAAAAACACGCACGTCATTTCCTCATCGAAGGCCATGCAAACCCCAGGGTAGTGCGTGCGGCTACTAGACAGATGGCTGTGCTCAACACCAACACGCGGTATGTCTACGACAACTTGACACGGTATGCTGAGAAGCTCACGGCCACTCTCCCAGAGACATTGAGCGTGTGTTTCTTTGTCAATTCCGGGAGTGAGGCGAATGATCTGGCCCTACGCATGGCCAGGGAACACACAGGGATGAGGGATGTGATTGCGCTCGGTGCGGGTTACCATGGCAATCTGAGCTCGCTGATTGATATCAGTGCGTACAAGCACGAGGGGCCTGGGGGTAAAGGCCCGGGAGATAGTGCGCACGTGGCACTGATGCCGGATCCGTATAGGGGCAAGTATAGAGGTATGGGTAGAGATACGGGTGAGAAGTATGCCAGCCATGTGAAAGATATACTGGATGGGTACACTAAGCCGTGCGACTCAGACACGGATGATAGAGTGCACAGTGATATGCATAGCTCGGCAGACGCAGAAGAGAAATGTCCAGCACACACAGACACTACAGATTCACACACAGGCCAACCGGGAGATGTCTCAGGTGTGCGTGCCACACGCACAAGCACGCACACGCCATACACAGACACTGATACACCACACACAGGCACAGCACATAGAGCACTCGTGCGACGAGGGGTGGGGGCGTTCATTGCTGAGAGTGTGCTGGGCTGCGGCGGTCAGGTGGTGCTGTGCGATGGTTATCTGCAGAGTGCGTACAAGCACGTGCGGGCGAACGGCGGCGTGTGCATCGCCGATGAAGTGCAGGTGGGCTTTGGACGCGTGGGGTGCAAGTTCTGGGGATTCGAGACGCAGAATGTTGTTCCAGGTATGTTGGGCGTTTGCTGTATATGCTTACATGTAGGTATGTTCATCGGTGATGTGTGTGCATTTGTGAGTAAGTAGGTATGTACTGTCCTTGTGTACTCGTGATAATCTAGCCGCCAGCACTTTTTGGCTTGGTGTAAAACTAGGATTTCGTCAGACAAGGCTGATGCGCAACAGCTGAATATCGCGAACGTCTTTTATGGAATGGGATATCAATGTCAACATTGTCATTATCACCCGCCGCGATTTACTTTCGCACACGATATTTGACCATACTTGCACATACTTTAGAGCTTGTATCGTAGTTATATATGTAAGTACTTGTGTCCACACTCATGCCACGGCTACGGACACGGTTGCTCAGTTCTGTATGTGAATATGGTTTTAATTATTCTCAAAAATGATCTGAATAGTCTGCAGAACACATTTGGCATTTGGTGTTCGCTCTGTTGAGCGTGCAAGTCTTTCCTATACTTCTGAGCTCTTGACTTTACTCGCGACCGGCAGACATTGTGACGATGGGAAAGCCAATCGGAAACGGCCATCCCCTGGGTGCAGTGGTAACAACACGCGCCATCGCCGAGAGCTTCGACAACAAAATGGAATACTTCAACACCTTTGGCGGTAACCCTGTCAGCTGTGCCGTGGGTCTCGCAGTACTGAACGAGATACACACCAACCAACTACAAGCACACGCCCAAGAACTCGGGGAAAGGTTGCTTAAGGGGCTCAAAGACCTTCAAACACGGCACCCTCTCATCGGGGATGTGCGAGGACTGGGCTTGTTTGTGGGGGTTGAGTTGGTGCTGAACAGAGACTCGTACCACCCAATACCCGCGGACAAACACGCCTCACACGTGGCCAAGCGCGTGCGAGACTTTGGTGTGCTGATCTCGATCGATGGGCCTGATCACAATGTACTCAAGATGAAGCCCCCGCTGGTGGTGACTGCGCAGGACCTCGACCGTCTCGTGAGTGTGCTGGATAGAGTGCTAGGGGAAGACGCGCTGCAGTTGTGAGGACAGTCAGTATGCGCACTGGTTGGACTAAGCATCGTAAGGGAGTGTGAGCGGATTCTTGTTTCTTAGATTTGGTTTGGTGTTCTCCAGAGAAAGCACGGATTTAAATGCTGTGCCAATAGTTTGAATGGCAGTTGGTAGTTGTTGCGCGCGATCCTGTTTTTTTCTATTGCGGCAGCTGTTTGCTTAAGCCAGGGATGTCAGACATCCGCGAGGGCAAACAATCGAAATCGCGTGTCTTCTCTCTACTAGTACATGTCGAGTGTCATATGGTTGCTACCAATGGCTCAGTGAACAATCTGCTGAGGTAAACATCCATAAATGGAGACTATGAACGACAACGATTGTCCAGAAGGTTTAGCAGAAAATACATTCCGCGAAGATGCGATCAAATCGGTTACCAATCAGCCATACAGCGATATCTTACGTAGGTATCTACGCACTCACACACAAATGGATAGAAAGTGTGCACTTTGCAAAACAGTCTCCATGCGCGTCTGCAGCCCGCCTCCCTCTTACACACGCACACACGCGCGCGCGCACACAGCGTCCAATTATTGAATGTATTGTATGCACACGGCAACTTCCGTCTCACCGTCTAAGGAGCATTCTGGAGGTGATGCACTGCATATGTGGACAGGTGATTTATCAATCTATCACCACGTAGTAATAGTGAGAAATCGAATTCGCCAGCAATACTCCAAGCGAGCCGACTCCCAGTTGACCTCGCAGTTCAGCCGGCCAAACGAGTGCAGGCAATTAGATCTAGCCGTAGCGGCGCAATGCTATGCGACATTGACCACCATAGCACATCAGGCATTGCGTGGCTTTTATCATAGGGCATGTCTGGCGGAAGTGGCACGGGAGAGAATGTGTGCGCTGGAGAGAATGTAACCTCACTCTTCCTTTAATGTTCCGTTGTGCTGGTCTGGAGATAACATGTTATTTCTGACCCGTTGCATTGCGTACGGCCCTTGCGTAGAGTGTTGTGATATATGGGAGGGGTGTATTAGACACACGGATGTCCTGTGCAGTACGCAGGGGTTTAGAGTGCAAGGCCAGTTGCGAGAAGCTCCATGATAGCGTGAGCCAAGTTTTCCAGTCAATAGCAGAAATGCCTATCTGCAGCTTTCATCTTCTGCATACATGCCTACAGATGGTCTTTCCAATGTTGCCGGGCCTGGATATTTGTGCCCGTCTCTACATCAGTTTAATGTCCATAGTAGATATCAGTATAGTTTGTTTGACATAAATAATACAGTCGGCCCTATGGTCGGCTGGAAACACACTCAGGTGAACAACCTGGCAAGCATATCGTCAACAGTGATTTTATCATCTACTAGTCATTTAGGTCAAATCAATACCTGGTATCACTGTGTCTGCAAACACAAACAAATGACACAGTGTAAGTGGAATGGGGTGGCACGCCTTTGGAAGAGTTTATAGAATTTACCTGAAGTGAACTGGCCTACTATAAATCTGCATACAAATGCAGTCTAACTGCAGCCTCTGGTCGTCAAAGGTTACTAGTCTACTGACCAGCAGCCTTAAGCGGTACAAACACCCTTTGAGAATTGATGAGTACGTACATTGTTTGAAAAATTATATATGACAATCCTGGACGTGCCGTACCACATCGGAATATAACAGAAATATCAAAACCGTCATAAAACAAATAATCCCAGTTTATAGTAAGGTCTGCTATAACTATGTACCCTCCGCCAGCGGAGAGTCCTGTCTAGCTTCCGGATTGCGGCTACAGTGTATCGTGTCGTAAACGTGCGTCTCCCCGTTTCGCGCCGCCCAGGCGTCGGACAGGAATATAAATTGCAGCATTTCGGGAATAGACACGTCGGCTCAAGATGAGATATAGTATAGTATTGCAGATGTTGGCTCTATAGCTATGTAGACGCCGCTGATTGCCAGCAGTGTTTATGTACCGCATGGTGCGTGTTGTTCGGCCTACCCAGCAGAGCCCAACCCTGGTGTCGACAATCTATCAATAGAATTGGCACACGTGGTCCCGTCAGCCTTTCCGCAGTGATCTATACGGAACTCTTCTTCATTGAACAGTGTAGTGTACGATTGTCCCTTGAGCTTCGCATCTAGCCAGGCAGGCTGGTTGCTACTGGGTGTAACCGTCTGCACTCCTGCTGTAGCTGCCGGTCAGGTATAGCGCTGAACACTCTTTGCAGATTAGCCTTTTTGGTTTCCGATGGCGGACGTATGAGATAGTAAGTGCCTTTCTGTCTAAAAGGTGCTAGTAAAAGAATAGTGGGGGTTTGGTGCGGTATAAGAAGCCCGGCGCAGATGTGACTGTCCGTCACTAGCTCCCACTAAAATGTCATAGTTACAGAGGGAATTAGTATAATTGTACTAGTATTGTTTAGTACAATATTGCAAGCTACATGCATCATTTGTCGACAAATCCGTGCCGCTTACTAAAACCCCAGTGGCACAAATCTGAGTCATGACCCAGCGGAAATCAGCGTTAAAACCCAGAGGAAAACCTGAGTCATGACCCCTACTATCTATCACACAGAGCGGGCTGTGTACCCGGATGTATTGGTAGAACACTTTCCACAACAGGAGTAGCAGTGGTCGATTTCCGGCCCGGTCCCAAAGGAATAAGCACACCATTCCTCCCTTCGCGTGTTCTAAAAATAAAGCAAACTCGATTGGTTCGTGGTGAAGGGCCCGTGCCCTACATTTCAATCAACACACCGTCAGTGTCAGCACCGTGCACTCATCACAGCTTCACCTCTCTCGCCCCAGTCCTACTGCAGTAAGCTTCAAGATCCATTTACTTCGGGCTGCTAGCGTGATCCCGGGTATTCCCGCACGCGGCCTTCAGCCCCACCAATGGGCTGGATCTCGGCTAAGAAACCCCCCTCAACCAGCCTTCTCAGTTTCACACTGTCTCACAAAACGGTATCTATTTGCGTCGTCGCCGGTTGTCTAATATGTATTAGTGTGCGATGGCCGACTGAAGGCAAGCCCAAACTCAATTGCTTTCCACGCCATCTGTCTTCTTGACGGCCTGGACCACGGACAGCACACTATTACAAAGGTCAATCTCTTCATACTATCCAGGTATGGAGACGTTCCCCATACCTGTTCCCCTGTTTCCAAATGACACGTGATTGGCTGCTATGACAGACTGTACTTTCCAGCACTATCATGGCTGCTATGACAGATTGTACTTTCCAACACTATCATGGCTGCTATGACAGACTACGCCTTTAACCCCTACACACACACTCCCATCGTCATCGCTTCCCTCCAGACTTGCCCATGGGACGATCTCTATCTCAGCTGCCACGGCCATTGTTCTAATGTTGTACGTCATACAACTAAAACCACTATCCACAAATATATCTTTACTACTTGCCTCTCACTCAGACCCCCATCGGCCCCGTCTACAGCCTGCATCTCAAACAGCACATCATCATCGTCGTTGTTATGTTATACGATATACAACTAACTAATATACACGAATATACCGCCACTACTACCTCGAAAGCAGACGCCCATCGGCCCTGTCTACAGCCTGCATCTCAAATAACACATCATCGTTGTTGTTATGTTATAGGACATACAACCAACCACTATACACGAATATATCTCCACTACTACCTCGCACGCAGACTCCCATCGGCATCGGCCCCGTCTACAGCCTGCATCTCAAACAGCACATCATCATCGTCGTTGTTATGTTATACGACATACAACCAAACACTATACACGAATACACCTCCACTACTGCTTCGCACGCAGACCCCCATCGGCCCCGTCTACAGCCTGCATCTCAAACAGCACGCACATCATCATCGTCGTTGGTTTGTTATACGATATACAACCAACTACTATGCACGAATACACCTCCACTACTGCCTCGCACGTAGACCCCCTTCGGCCCCGTCTACAGCCTGCATCTCAAACAGCACATCATCATCGTCGTTATGTTATACGACATACAACTAACTACTATACACGAATATATCTCCACTACTACCTCGCACGCAGACCCCCATAGACCTCGTCTACAACCTGCATCTCAAACAGCACATCATCATCGTCGTTGCTATGTTATAAGACATACAACTAACTAATATACACGAATATACCGCCACTACTACCTCGCACGCAGAACCCCATCGGCCCTGTCTACAGCCTGCATCTCAAACAACACATCATCATCGTCGTCGTTACTCTCCGAACTTCCCATAAGTCGTTCTCCGTCTCCCCTGTCGCGGCTGCTGCCTTTACCCGAGCGCAACGAGCTGATGCTACCGTGTTTGGAGCTGAGTGCCTTTGCTTGCATTTGGCGATACTTGATTATATTGAATATGACGATACCCCCTGAGCGCGTGCAGATAAGTTGCGATAGTGTTTAGGGTGCAGTGGTTGGAGGCAAGGAAGTGTGCGGGTAGGTGCACAATGGATAGGAAAAGAGACGTGCACATGGCGATGCAGCGGCTGGGTGAGCTCATGCGATGAGTATGCAAGACACAGCTGCATCTGTTCAAATGGCGTGTGTGCGTAGGTGCATCCGAAAGGTGAAAACGGTTGCATTGGTGCAGATGATACACAACGAACCCCATTGGCATTTCCAGCTAAAGAAACATTCCCGGCTAGAGAGTTCCAGTGTTGAATGTTGGTGGCAGTAGTATGCACAATAAACGGTACATGCATTTACGATAGTATGCGGGCTGCACGAGGGATACAGGTTGCCATTGCGTTCAAATAGAGAGGGCACTAAAAAGAACGAGCATTGAAACGTATAAAATATAATCTTAAAACCCTTCATTTGGGGTTTTTTGTGCTACTGTAAAAGCCGAATGACCTGGCAAAGAAGCAGAGACTACCGTCAACAATGCGGTTGATACGAATTGCGACTTTTAGAGAGTATAGAGCTCCCCAGCATATAGATAGACCGTTACTCATGCTGCTCCTAATCTTCGTACACAACACCAGCGATATCAGTTGTCCCAAACGACCGCACTTAATCAAATGCACGAACACGAACACGAACGCAAATGCTGATGGTCCCCGTTAATGCCACATACACCTTATATATAAACATATATGACAAAGACTCTCGAGATTTTTTGGAAATCGATGTTTGTTCGAGATTTCCCCGTCCACTTTCTGTGGAAACATAGAAACGAGGGTTGTATCGAAATTGACGCGGTGTATTGTGAGGCGAGATTCACTCCTCTACGATGCCGCTTGTCAACACTCTTTCTGCCAGTACAACTCTATACACAAACTCACACCCCCAAGCTCAGACACAATACCAAACACTCACACCCTCGAGCTCAGACACAGTACCAAACACTCACACCCCTAAGCTCAGACACAATACCAAACACTCACACCCCCAAGCTCAGACACAATACCAAACCCTCACACCCCAAACTCAGACACAATACCAAACACTCACACCCCCAAGCTCAGACACAATACCAAACACTCACACCCCCAAGCTCAGAAACAATACCAAACGCTGTGCGATCTCTCACTTGCACTGGCCCACAGCGTGGCTATCCTCACAACCCCACTCCGGTGGATATGTGCACGCGTAAGAAAGCCTCTTGAAATCGGAATCTAGTCTATATACTAGTTCAGGGGTATTCGCATGAGCGAGATATACCTCCCCGATCACGCACACATTCGTATACAGAATCGAAACCTTGTGAACATCATACGACTGTCCAAAACACACTCCCACCAATCAGACCGACATACCTATAGTGATGAACAGCCCTAGTACGTTCATGGAGTTGAGTGTTTCCGAGAACACGACCACAGATAGAAGGATTGTGAGGAGTTCCTGCAGAGATACGGATACCAACATAAGCGGTTGATAGAGGAGTGTCGGTATGCCAAAATCAAAACGTTAGAAGCCTATTCCCACCAACTCAGCGGATAATCACACAAAGCGTAGACGTTGAGATAGATCTCGGAGATCATATTAAAAACGGGCCCAATGATCTCGGTATAAAGTACACGCGCATCTGTTGAGCGCACGATCACAGCAAATGGGCGATGCGATGAGTGGTATGCGGAGTGGCACTTCGCAGACACATGTTTCAATTGGATTGTTAAAGGAACGAGGAGTACACGGGAGAAACACTGCTCAGGGCAGACTCGCTACACAAATCAGCAATACAGAAGCAAACATACAAACATATTATATAGGTAAGAATGACATGCGTAATAACACAGCGCTCATACAGAACCAACATGCATATAAACATACAAACATAACATTTATACAAACATCACATACAGACACACATACATAACATACATACAAACATCACATACATACACACAAACATATTATATAGGTAGAAATAACATGCGTAATAACACAGCGCTCATACAAAACCAACATACATATAAACATACTAACATAACATTTATACAATCATCACATACATACACACAAACATAACATACATACATACCAGCACACACTTATAAATATCAATACCAGGTATAACAAGAAACACACATGGCCGAGATAAACGAATACACATGCACACTAACCAAGAGACAAGTGCTATCACTGAATTGCCAACCCACACAAAACAATCACACGGCTGCTGCCATGGCAAAGCTGCCGACCTGCTGATTGCTAGTGGTTGTGTGTTCATGCGCTAGTGTTGTTGTCAGCGTGCATGTGTGTTTGCGCTCAAACAAGCACAACAACCTAGTGAGTTCAACCCAGATCGCGACCAGGAAACGGCCGCACGTAGGCCACAACATATATGTGGATAGCTCCTCTATGCTAGAGTTTTAACGCCATCAATGCGTATACCTCCAACTTGCGAGATTTCACAACATCTCTGCGTACACGTTCAATATGACCGAGCCTATCGCATCGATATGCGAGAGTCCACAACAGGTGTATACCTTCATTATGCCTGCGACCGACAGGGTGACGGAGGATGTGCGGGAGATCAGCAAAAACTCGCTGACATTCATGGCAAACGCTATGAGCGCCCCAACTCCCTGCAATATCCGGGTGCAGGGGATTTGTTAGGCTTATGCACAGCATGATATTCACGTATGAGTGGATAGGGTGTGTTCCAAAACGTTTCTTATTGTTCGTTCATGTGTATATATACTTGTATAAAATAAGCATGCACGTATATATAAACGCTGGCGTGAAGCAAGTCGTGCTTATGAAAACGATACAAGCACCCTCGCTCATACACAGCACAACCAGCCCCCACGTATATAAGCCGGGGAAGACCTACCATGACCAGACAGGACCGATATGGGGACCATTCATCGCCCATGTAGATGTGGTGTGATGAGAAGAAGGCGGTGCCCTCGAAAATCAATGCCAACGGCAGCAGTACTGCAGCCATCACCGGCGTCACATGGTACAGAGTGTCTGTGATGATGCAGATATACGAGATATTTGTTGAACAAGGGGGGCGTATTGGAATGGAGTGAAATATCATAGACGTGTGTATCAGAGTGTGCGTGATGGTAGTGAGTGTCTGCATGGTATGAAATACAAGAGAGTGGGGGGCATTAAAAGGTTAAAGAATACAAACGAACCGCCGGAGACGTTGTGTAGTCCAGCGTGTGACATGCCTGGGAGAGCCTGGGTAGCACAAAGAGCACCAAGGGAGTTGAGTGTGCGATTACGAGACATGACCGTACCATGCGTGATGTATTTAGGGCGATGCATTATAGAAGGATAAGGAGTGGCGAATTGAAGACAGACCAACACAAAGACTGATTCGAAGGCCCAGAGTTAGAGGCGCAGTATACGCCGACGCAGAAGGACGTTGGATGAACCCGAGTGCCCTAGTCGAGGGCGTAGACACTAGAGCATTCGTTGCTACGAGGAATTCGCACACAAGAGTCCACGCGTACACCCGAGCATACCGATTGGATTGTGAAGGCCAAATTGCTTGTGTTGCAGCAGCAGCTGTGTGAGCACCCACCGTAGACCAGCCATAACGGTAGCCGTCATCACCAGTACCAGGCCAAGCACGTTGTATTCAGCCTCACCGCCGTACGTGAACAGTATCACCCCCAGTGAGATGGTTACTATCACACCCAGCAGTGCGAAACTGGTATGTGACAAGCAAGGATATAGTTAGTAGACTGAACCGAAGGTTGGAGGCGGCGCTACAAGTGTGTGCGTGAGTGGTTGATGGTCTACTACCTCCCTCCCACACGGTGTCATGTACCCTGCGATTATAATCCCTCTTCTGTGGGAGTGTGAACAGGGACTAATAATCCGACCCAGCATACGCTCAAATCTAGCAGCAAAACGCGAACAGTAGCAAAAGAAAACGAAACAAAAGTGTGGAGAAAAAAAAAAGAAGCATACAAATACAACCTCGCGAATCTGAACATATATATAATAATTCCTGTGTGACACACCTGGGTCTCTCCACACGGAAGCAGAATGCGAACAACAGCAAGAAGATAATGGAGGTGGACTTGCAGATGGTATATGTGGTGATGTTGATGTATAAGATAGCTGTGTTCGAAAGTCCAATATCCAAAGCCGACGATGCGCCCGTGGGTACCGCTCCTTGGAAATACGCTTTCGCTATATAAACAAATTGAAACGAATCATTTCGTTAGAGAATGCAGTGTTAACAAAGGATTGTATGCCCCTAATGTAGCGTGTCATATATATATATAGATATAGATATAGATATAGATATAGATATAGATATAGATATACATACACATACCTATACACACGCACACACACATG